ATCGCCTCTCGAAATTTGTAAAATTTGAATTATTGCCATCTTTTAATTCCGAAACTGTAAAAGTTTCCAAATATTTTAATCCCACGCAATTAATTGAATATTTTTTTTCATTCAATATTTTTTTTTGGCCTCATCCTAATTGTATGCAATCTTTGAATATTTTTCGTGAATGAATGAAAACACATAATTTAAGAAATATTTTCACTTGTTAAAGGGAAAAGTGCTACATAGCAAACCAATGGTTTAAATTTACAATCATATTCAATAATATTACCTACAGAGATAAAAATTTCTGTAATCTTTGATATCTTGCATAAATTTAATAAGATAATTTTCAATTATTCTGATTGATGCAATGCACAAAATTACAAATGATATACATTATTTAGCAAAAATATTTATACATACGTATATAAACACGTGAGTGTGTACATCAATAAAAACATTTAAATTAATATTGTCATTATAGAAAACACAGTATAATTATCATCTATAGAGAATATTTAAAATTTGGTGAATATTTGAGGTGAGTATCTAGTTTTCTTTTCTTATACATATACTTAGAAATCTTATTATAAAGGTGGTGTGCACGTGGATTGGGGTGCATTAATTTTTAATGTAATTTTCATTTTACTATTGGGAAATTTACCCCTGCATTCAATTATTGCTACATATATGATATTATATTATGTAAAAAATTTAAAATTTTAACAAATATTTTTTGGTGTTCAATTAAATTTAAGTATTTTGATAAATTAAGTAATTTTCAAAAATAGTTTTGATCGAATGAATATTTTAGTTCCACAAACATTTTAATTAAACGAAGTTGTGTAGAAACAATATTAGAAAGTGCCTTTCAAGACAGAAAAATTGAAATTTCGGAGTCAAATATATTTTTTAAAGAACGTTTCAAGTTATAGTTCATAGAAAATTTAAAAATGCGAAAACATTATAATTCATTTGTTCTGTTTTAAAAGATTATAGTCGAATGAAAGACTGATTAAAGTAATTTTTCCTTTAATTTTTGCAATTGCTCGCTACTCCGTATATTACTTTTTAATTTGATAAAATTTTAATTTTCAGTTTATCTGTTTTCTGTAAGATAGGATTCACCACACTTCCATAATAGAAAAAAATGTAACAAAAATCGCTCTCTTATAAATATTTGTTCTCTTATATATATAGTTACTGCCCTAAAATTTTTCCTGAAAATATGCAATATAATAATACCTCCATATAATACCTCCTACACCACACGTACATATTATATACGAGTACATATGTGTTAAACGTACCTATATGTAAATTACTAGTTTTTTTTTTTGAAGTCGTCACCAAATTTTTTAAGTTAATTGTAAAAGTATTTTAAAATAAAATTCAAATCATCTAAATTATGAATTTTACTAATACAACATTATAGTTGCGGAATTAATAAGAATGTGCTTATTACACTACTAACTTATCTTAATGGAAATTTCTTCATGCAACTGCAGAACAGATGGATGACGTAATCAAAGGATTTCCATTAAGATAAATTAGTAGTGTAATAAGCACATTCTTATTAATTCCGCAACTATGATGTTGTATTAGTAAAATTCATAATTTAATTAGTGCAATAGGCACAATCCTATAAATATATATGTTCTTGTTATTGTGTGTTCCAATAGTTGATTGTATGTAGCAATCAATGTAAACAAAACAAATACTTAGTAATCATGTGAATTACAGTATAAGCAATGTAGAGAACATTTCGTCGGCAATTTCTTCATGCCTCTGTAGTTCAGTTGGTAGATCGTCCGCCTAGAAAGCGGTAGGTCACTGGTTCGAGTCCAGTTCGAGGAGAAAATTTTTTTTAATGAATTTTTCTGCCTTTAACTCGTTCCTTTGATTACGTCATCCATCTGTTCTGCAGTTGCATGAAGAAATTTCCATTAAGATAAATCATCTACTTTTCATACATAAGATTTTGTCATTTTGTAATATAGGAAACTTACATATTTATTTATCTATATCAATTTCCTGATAATGATATAAGATGCTTGATAATATTTAAAAGTAATTTTAATTTATTGAGTTGTTTCACTTTTTAAACCTGATGAATATCATTTTTTTTTTATTTTGAAATAAACTCATTAAATAGAATAATTGTAGCATGTAAATTTTAATATTTGTTTTTTCTGTATTTTATTTTGTTACTATTTTTATGAAATTTTTCATTTCTATAATGATAGAAAGTAAAAAAAAAATTAGTTCCGTAATCCACCTGCAGTTATTTTGTGTTTTGATAATATTTTTTTCACTGCACTATACAATAATAATGAGTGTGAATCGGGTTTATTTTTAATATTTTGAGAAAAAATTCAATTCTTATATAATGAGAATTGATAAAAATTATCTTGATCAATTCTGGGATATGAAATCATCGCGAATTGTGAGAATTATGTACAGTTCCCGTACGTATATATGAAATTAAAAATATGTAACTAAAATTTTAAAATAATTTTGGGCTTTAGCAGTCAACTGCACCTCTTAAATAGAGTGATTTCTAATATAAAGTTTAGAACTTGATTTAAGACATTTAAGTGAGCTTTTTTTCGAAAATTGATTTGAAAATTACTTTAACGTTGAATTTGGAATTGTGTCATAAACTACAAATGTGTTACAGCTACATTTAGCAATTGATATTACACTATGATTATTCTCTATGAGCCCTCATTTTCACATTTCACCTATGTTTACACTAATAAATCTCTTGCACATACAAAACCGGTCCCAATAATAAAATTTTATTGTGTGTATTTTTGAAACGGATCGATTCTCATCATCACAAACGGAATTTCAAATTCATAATAACTTTTGAATATGGTAAAAAATAAATGATTATAATAATATTTTTTTACATAATTTAATTAAAATAAATTATTAAATTTTATGTTTTTTATGTTTCTTTTATTCACTTAACGCGATATTGTTACCATTTTTTGATTTTATTGAGTGTTGCAATTTGTTTACTTGCTATATGTATGTTTTTTGTGTTCACATATATGGCAACTGCTTGTATTTTTTTATATTTTCTTTTTGTTGTTGTTCATTTTATACATAATTTACTTCTGTTATGCACGCACTTCATTAATAATTTTTATAAAATTTTTTATAAATTTAATAATAATTTTTTTTTATATAAAATATTTTTGAATAGTTAAACAATTGTATAAAATGAAGTGAAAGAAATTAATTTCACTTTCATTGATATTTCATCGCGCTATAATAATGCGATTGAAATAATTTTGTGGCCATAAAATATGGTGTGATAGCGTTTATATACATGGTGAAATTATGTGTGTACTTCTGTACAATTTGAAGAAAGTATATTGTTATTAATTGCAATAAATTAATTTATACTAAAAGGAGAACTGAAGAAAGTAATGTTATATAATTAGGATTATAATTTTGCGTCATTGTTACCATAATTGTTAGATTTTTTGACTATATTTTTTTTAAATTACTTAAATGTAAAATATAATCAATTTGATATGATTAGATTTTAAATTTTTATAAATGGCATTCTATACAATCTTCCAAAATGAGTTAACTCGTTTAATAAAACTCCTTTAGTATCAATAGTTTCTGTTTTCGACGAATTTCTCATAAATGAGAACTATTGTCAGTGAGCATATTTCACGTCTTATTAAAATAAAATTATCCAAGAAATTAATCAATATTTCATTTGTTGTTTGGATTCAGTTTAGTTAAAAAAAACAAATAAGTATGACTTCCTATTTTCCTAAGTAATATGCTAATTTTTCTTTCAAAACCTAGAGTAGATTTTTTTTCTATTTAATTTAACAATAATAATATTAATAAAATTTCTTCTGGCGAAATTTTTACGTTATATTGTTCGATTTTTAGAAGTGCGTATATAAAGAAATTTAATTTTTTGCTTTCATAAGAAATTGTAAAATAATGGCGAAAATAAATTTAAAAATTTATTGCTGACAATTTAGATTTTACGTTTTCATTTCACACCGGATTATTTTTCATTGACATTATATTATGAGCGTGTACACACTAAATTGAAGACTTAAAGATTTTTTTTTCTCGTTTTGCTCTTTTTTTTTTTTTCTGTGTAAAAAGAAAATAATGAACATTTAACAGTGATTTAAGTGCCAAGCGTTTATTTTTTTCTATATGAATATTTTTTCCATATTTAGGTCGAATGTCTCATCATTAAGCATGTAAGTATGTCATATTCAATTAGCATTATCACATATATGTATAATATTAGTAATAATGAATTCGCATAAACTTGATTTAAGTACGCTGTCATCCGTTAATAAAAGTTTAAAGTTGATACAGTGATAGCTACTATAAAAGTTATAATATTTTCATATTATGTTAAATAATTGAATATGTTATATTTACTGTGTATAATGATTTCCTTTCTGGTAATTGTCATTTTGAGAAAAAGAATTAAAAAAAAGATTTAATTAAAAGTTCTTTTAATATTTCATTCGGTTTCAAGTTGGTACAAAATGTTTGGAGATTGTGAATTTCATAATTAAAAGGTTACAATTAAACATGCATAGCATTCTATTAAATTGTATAAACTCAATAAAAGTGTAAAAGGCTGCCAACCACACCAGCTTCTATCTTTATAAAACAGTAATTGAAAAAAGTTTTTACTCACATTTATTTCGGTAGATGGCTTCACAATTTTATTTGAGTAAGAATATGGCCTAGTTTTAGCGACTCCGATTAAATTTCGGCACAAAATACATACATTGTTTCGCTAACACATTGCAGCCAATAACTTTGAAATATTTTGAATTTGTCTCACTTACTGCGATATTGAAAATTAAATCTACTTTTCAGTGTTTTCTACTGAAGTGGGTTAATAACTAATTTAGTTGTTCAAAATTTTATTATAAAAATTTATTTCAAATTGAAAAAGTTTAAAAATTTATTTAAATTTTAATTAATAATTTTTAATATTTTTACAGAATGTCTTTACCCGGTCTCCCACCTTTACCAAAAAGCTTAGCAGCTATTGATGGACCAACGAATAATACTGTTAATAGTATTTTAAATCAAAATAATATTAATTCAAATAGTCCAAATATTGGTGGATCATATCTTCAACATCATCATATTCAACAACAACATCAATTACAACAGCAACATCATCATTTAAATAATGTAACATCAACAACACCAACAACATTATCGACAACAACATCGACATCATTATATGATAGTCATCAACAACAGCATCATCATTCTACTAGATCAATAAATAACAGTAATAATAGTAGTATAATATCAAATACTATTAGTAATAGTAGTAGTTTAATACCATCACAATTAAATCGTACTTCGACCAATAGTTTATCAAGTATTGGTAGTAATAGTAACATTATGACGGGTTTAAATTCATCACCAATAGCAACAACAAATAATTCGATAACAACAAATAATTCATTATCATTATCACAAACGACAGCGACTACAACAGCAACATCTATGACAAATAATACAACATCAACGTTAGATACACAATTGGCTGTTTTAAGAAGAGAAATGGTGAGTAAGTTTAGCTTTTTCTTTAAATTGATTTTGTTTGGATAAGTCAATGCGAATTCTAAGTAAAGTTATATAAATTTTCATATTACTCCTATTATTTTATACTATATTAAACATATTTCTCCGATTTACCGAATTTTGTTTAAAACCATGGGGTTTAGATTTCTTTAGTAAAACTTTATTTAATAAAAATTCAAATTAAGGCTTAGTAAACCGAATTTCGCTTACGTATAAGATATCTGGAACTTTTATTTCAAAAAAAAAATTCTGCAATATGAGAATTTTTTCTCAGTGTACAATTGCTAATTCAATCTTCTCTGTACTCAATAATTATTCAAATAAATTTGTTTTAAATCTTGTAATTAAAAAAAGATCAAAAGAACAGAGTAACTATTTTGGAAACCTTAATAAAACTTTTAATTATAATTAAAAGTTTATTTATGGGTTAATAGTTTCAGTACGAAACTATTTCCAAGTTGTAAGACTTTATTTTTTAAAGTTTAAAAAAAAGTTAAAGAAAAAATTTTGTTGTGTACAAAATCCTTTTTTTTTCTTTAAAGAAGTTTTCCTTACAAGGATATTTGAATATTTTGAAAGAAAAGAAAATTTCCATAGCATTGAAATTAAAAACAATTAATTATTTTTTATGTTTTGTAGTAAAGTTGATTGATTGATTTTTTTCAAAACCACACACAAGCTACAGAGAGTATATTATGTAATACATTGCAACATTTTTATGGTATACCACAACATGTTTGGTAATTAAATTGGTGCTTAGTTTAGGACATATTAAAATTCTGAACACATGATATTGTTTGCTTTAAGATAAGTAATTCAATCTTTATTGTTTTCCGACAATTTGAAGACTTTAGTTTACAAATTTCTTATTTACAATTTTCTTATTTACAATTTTCTTATTTAAGTTGGAACAAGTTTGTTTGAGAATATGGGTGTTCCAAATGGGACTACCTCTAGAATTGGTTCTTTCAATACGAAATTTAGAATTGAATTTCATATTGCAAAATTTTATTAAGTTCATAACGTCGATAACACATTTTTTATGCATTCGAAAAAGTGTCTTGCTTAGAGCCTTGATTTACAAAAATTTCTACAATTACAAACAATTTGCATATCCTTAAAACGTAAAAGAATAATACAGAAACAAAGATCCCAAAATTCACTTTTGTTTTATATTATTACTTGTGCTTTACTGTTCCTTTGAATTTATACTGATACGAGTTATAGCAATTTAGTTTTACGGTATTCTTTCCCCGGGTATTACTTTCTTTAAAACGTACTTATTTAATTTAAAATTAATTTTTAATAGAAAAGTTTTAATATTAAATATTTTAATTTTAAATACTTTAAAACTATAAAAAAATTTTTTAAGGTTGAGGTTCAGTATAAAAGGACTCAAAAAATAATTTAATTGAAAAAAAAAACAAGAAAAAAAAAGATTGTAGCATTTATAAATATTTGATTTGGAACTTTTTATTGCAAAACCTTTATCCAAATTAAAATGCATATGCATGAACGTTCATGTGAAAATTAATCAAATAAAATAATCGTTGTTTTTCTAATTTTCTTTGAAATGAAATATTTTGCTTCTTTCTCTTCGTACTTTACTAAGAGCTCTCCAAAAGTTGTTTAAATTCATAAAGAATTTCACAAATTTCAATTTTTTACACATCAGATACAACATTTGACTCACTTAACAAATACAACATAAAAGATTGCTTTAATACTGCAATACAAAATTTTCATGCTTAAAATTAAAATTATTGACAGATTAAATAGTTTTTAGGATTTGGTCCATGTTGAAATCCTTAAATCTTTTGAAATAAGAAAATTATCAATAGATACTTAGGAATTTTTTAAAAATTTCTTGAGAAAAGAATCTGCACCGCAGTTCCCCAGAATTTTTGTATAGGCTTTGGCTATTAATTTGAGTTTTTTTTTTTTTAAATAGCATTGAAAGTTAATCTTGCAATTTGAGCTAAGTTTTAATAATTATTCCAAATTTTTCACTGAATTGACGTTCAGGTGATTTTTTTTGAAACTCTCTATGTTTACTTCACAACACCTTTCACAAATATGTATAAGCGCCAAAAATTTTAATTTTAAAATTTATTTGATTGCATCTGATTGCGTTGAAGGTAATGTATTTGAAAATTGCAGTCAAATTATTTTTTCAATATTATGCGTATCCTTTCTTAAATAAGAAACTTTACAATTTTTACCGAGCGCATTGTATACAGTAAGCCAGGTTATGTGATCGAATTTTTAATAGAATTCCACTTCTTAAATAAGTAGGGAAGCTTAAATAATTTATTTGAAGCAAGAAATTTTCTTGAAATTTAATATTTGAGTTCTGTTTGCTACTAGACGTAACTGACTAGAATATTTTTCAGTGTATTCGAATGGCAAAAAGTGAATCTCTACTAAGAGCCAAATTTACATTTATATAAGTGTGTGAGAAGTACTTAAAACGGCATTTTTACAATATAATTATATTCTACAATATAAATTTTTTTACACATTTTCTTTATTTAAATTCAAATGATATTTGTTTGCAGTCGATTGCAAAATATTAAAAGGATCAAAATCCCTTCTAATCCAACTTTAATACATAGAAGTGTTGGTCTCTGCCACTACTTTATTTAATTTCATTTTGAAATATTCTAAAATTTTTGGACCATCACTCTTATTTCCCAATCTTTTTTTTTTCAATTTTGTGTTTTAAATTTAAATACAATGTTTTACCATTAAATGGTTAGAAAGAAAATTAAATAAAATACAAAATGCTTAACTTTTCCTTAAAATAAAGAAATAATACTAATAGACATTAGATTCTTGAAATAGGATAAAAAATAAAAGTAAAAAGAATAGAATTAAAGTGGTTTCTAAATTAAAATAAAAATGGAATACACTTTTTTATACAGTAAATACTTTCAGTAAATTAAAATACTTGTATAAATAAAAAGAAAAATAAATTAAAATTAATTTTAAAATTCTTTTTAGATTAATAATAGATTAGTTTTTTTTCTAATGTAATCAATTACGTCATACCTTGAGTATCTCTTATTTAAATTACTTTTTATATTGTTTCCAACTTCCAATTTACCAACTTCGTAGTATTAGTGTTAATAAAGGTGTGAAGTAAGAAAAGAATTCTTTAAATTTTTTAATGAATATTTTTTCGAAAATTTTAGTTAACTGTAAATTTTTAGTTAATTGCAATGAGCCCAATCAAACTATTCAATTTTTGCAAATAAAATTAACTATAATTTTCAATTTCATTCTAAATACTTGGGGCATATGACCAGAGCAGGACTGTGGAGAGTGACCACAAATTTTGTGAATATGGAAACTATCATAACAGGAACTTAAAATTCTGTTCCACAGTCCTTTTAAAGTAGGTTAGCTCCAATTCTTTATAATGATATTCAATACGTACTAGATTTTACAACCCTTTCAATTCAATGATATTCAATACTACAACTCTTTTTGAATCTCTAATTATGATTCTAAAAAATTGTTGTGCATATGCCAAACACAAAGATTTATTAAGTTATTGTTTATTAATGTCTTACATTTATATTTTAGACATACATAAAAAATCTAGAAAATATTAAGAACCATTTAGCCTTATCATGTTCGCAGATCGCGTTGAATTCCTGTAATTAAATTCAGAAAATTGGAAAATTCAAACATTTTTTATTCGTTAGTTGGTTAATTTCCTGCATTTATTCCTTCCTCCTCTTTCTTTGAGTCCGTGGGTCAGATGATTTGAAATTAAATATAAAACTTTGAACAGAAACGGTAGATTTATTTGGTTCTAACTGTAATAAGATAAGTTGTCTAATCAAAGAATAATTGTATCATGTTGTGACCGAAACCATTATATACGATGCACCATTATATTTCGAAATTGATTGTATGATTCAAGTTTAAATAGGAATTTTTACTGATAGTACACGTTTTCTTGATAAAAAAAAAAACTTTATATTGCAAAACTATTGTAACTTTTTATTTCAAAATCCTGTATAAAATTAGTTTTTAAAATCGTATAATAACTAACCATTATCCATAACATTTGAAATCTCTATATTATTTTCCTATAATTTGATTAAAGTTTATAATCTCTATATGGAAGTTTTTAGTTTCTTTTAGCATCTCTAGCAGATGCTAAAAAAAAATACCTAAAAGTTTTATGGTATTTTATTGAAATTAAGTTTCATCTTCAAATAATGGCTAACACTTTATATTGTTCTACACTTTGTAAAACTTTTCGCAATATATTCAATCAACAATATTACATACAAAGTATATATTATGCTTGTGTACCTGGTTCTCATACTTTTAAATTATATATACTTGCTCTATATTAAATATTTACTGTTCAAAAAAGAAAAAAGTTGAATTTGAAAAATCTAAAAAGTTTAAAATTGAATTTTAGAGACAAAATACAAAAAAAAAACAACACAGTAATGGTGCATAGTGTCGCAAAATTATACGTAAAGGTGTTACTGCAAAAAAGTTTTAAAATTTTCTTTTTTTCGTTTTTTTTTTTTTTTTGAATTTTTGTTAATGTCCTCTTGCTTTCGTGACTAAAATTTGTAAGAAAAATAAATAAAATTTAATATTTTTTAACCCATACAATTAAGAAAGTAGATAACCTTTGTGTATAAATTTTTGACATTTTGTAAGGAATTATCTCTGCTGGATTTTCATAATACTCTGATTTTGAAATGGTTGCAAATATTAAAGAATAGTTTCTAATTTAGATCAAATTCAATAATAAAAAATGTTATTCTTAAAAATGTTGAATTATGTATTATGCAATTTATTTTAAGTAAAAAATCTAACAGAGTTGTGGCATTTTTGGTGAAATTTATAAGACGCAGGGCAGAATTTTGAATATAATTAGAATTGTTATAAAAATATATCCTATCCGCACAAGCATGGTAATATTCCTCATAAAATTCGTTTTTATTTTA